TATCGTACTGAATTACAACGTAATTGATACGATTCTCGATAAGCGAGGCCTCATCGCATCAGTCCGTATAGTCGCTCGCGCAGTGCTTCCAGCCGCCCCGTTTCTCTTCCTCACTCTACTTCTGGTATTAGCTCAGTTATCTTTCACGATCTATCTCTTCATTCACGAGCGATTTAAGCAATTGCGATACCGAAATCGAAAGAAAAAGGAAGGCTTAATTGCGGAAGCTATGCGTTTCGCGGGTTGTCTCCGTTCAGATCCATTTTATTACAATGCCAACGTATTTTTCATCAGGCTGTTTCTCATAATAAAGCGAACTGTAATGTTCATGAAACGTTGGCATTCTAGGAAGCTTTCCTGCAGAGGCACAAATCGACACAAGAGTCATTGTCTGTCTTTGTTTCTTATTGATTATCCAGGACAGGAGGATTCTTGTGTCAATTTGTGTTTCTTGCTGGAAAGCTTCCCTAATGATAAATCTGGACACGGAGATAATCCGCGAAACGCATAGCTTCTGTATAGAAAGTTATCCATGGAAGCCTCAAAAGCATTATCAAAGGCTGAATTGATGTCGCGAACGAGAGTCGCTCGTACAAACGCTCGAATGACGCTTGATCTTGCTTTGAATTCGTCGCTCCTTTCATTTTCTTTATTAGCTTACTGTTAAACATTTTATCGTACAATCGTGATCTTCGCGCGCGAATTTTTATTAATTGATCTCGGAGAACGCAAGAAAATCTGTTGCAATGATCTATTTGTATTGCGTAATAAATAATCAGTTGGTTAATATTCAATGTGCGTGCAAATCTTGTATTAAAAATGGCGTTTTTCTCTTTTCTGCGCAAATCCAGATTACTGTCGCTTATATAATGCAGTTTACATATTCAGAAATAACGCTCGTTTTCATATGGAAGTATTTTTTTTTTTTTTTTTAATATAACTATATATTTTCTCGCGTTTTTCTCTACTACGTTTCAGTGTCGTACAGTTTTCATGTCTCTTATAGAAATATAATACGAACCAGTTTAATATTAAAAGACAGTAATTAATTATTTATTTTGAGTATTGAAAGCATTGTTCTTTAATAATATTTAAAGTAAGTTCTCCAAATAGGTAATTAATTGTCTTTCAGTAATAAATTAGTTAATGTTGGATTTCCGTATGAAATATGAAAATTTAAATATAATTATTTGAAAGAATTAATATTTAAGATACGACAAAAATAACTATTTCATCCAAATATATCTTTGGGTTCATTTTTTATCTGATTCTCCATTAAATATTAATTGTAAAAATAAATCTTTAAATTTTTTGGAATGGAATTTCACTCTAAAGATTGAGATTTTTACTCTTTAGAGTAAGATTCCACTGCAAAAAATTTAGAGAGCGCACGCGATTAAATCGTGATCGAGTGATTGTGAGTTTTGCAAAGAGACATTAAAGAATTACTGTCTACATTACATTTAACATTAATACCGCATATATGAGTAAATATCTTTAGTTGTTCTTAACGAGAAGTTAAGTCTCCCATTGTGAAGATCATTTGTGGAATAATCATCTGATCAACGGTGCAATTGTTTTCCATAGATCAGGCTCTGTTCCCGCACGCTGACGCGAACATGTTCCAGACTCTGCTTGATGCCTTGCTGAACGACAATAAATTAGACGAGAAACTCGGCCTGACCGGGAAGCAAAAGAGACTGGTACAGAACACATGGGCGATCGTTCGTAAAGACGAAGTATCGGTCGGAGTCGCCCTTGTACTCGCGTGAGTGTGAATGAATTGCCGTTTTTTTCATCCACACGCACTCTTCACTAAATTTGTACTCGTAACTTCGATCAAGCGAAAACCGCAGAAATAACCGCACCGGTAAAACCACGGAATCTTCATTAAAATACCTCGAGAATAACGAATTTTCTATAAATAAGAGATTTTAATATAAAATACAAGAATTATAATATGAAATTGGATTAGATAAGAATAAATCTAATTAAGGATCAGAAATCTTATTTTCGGTTAAAGCGGATATTAGTTAATTAAATTAATATTTCTTAAATTATTAATTAAATTATTTATTAAAATATTTTACTTAAATATTTCGGTGTAATCGAAATACTTACTTACTTAACTGGATAATTGGATAGAAATAAAAGATTTTAATGTAAGCTCACTCATGATGAATGAGCTTGCATTAAATTATAGCCGCGATGCGTTGAGAAATTCTTTCAACGCGGCCGAAGCTTCCTCGCTCAAGAAGTACTTCCGCATTCTAACAAGCCATTCATTTAATGATTCGCCGAAGCGTATATATCTGGTGCATGATAAAAAACCCATGTCACGCACTACGGGCCTCATCGTCAACACCCTCACGTCTCGTCAAAACCATTCGCGTTTGTTAATGCGCATTGCGTCGCGGTGCGCAAAAGATGCGGCAAAACGCACGCTATGAAAATTTCAACGTTGCTTTCATTATCACATGTGATACCGGGGTAAATTATTGCGACATCCTGCAATCATGTTGTGTTGACTATTTTGCGATAGGAGCTGTTTATAACTTATTTCTCTACATATCAAGGTTGGAACAAAATTAGAAATCAGCGAAAACGGTTAGAGGAATTAAGGAAAAATCGGCAATTTTGCAAAATTTTCTGCAAAATTAAAATTAGCTTTAATATGTGCACCTCACATCTACGCAGTTTTAGATTTCTATTAACTTAACATTACACGCAAGTAATTGGCTTTTGCTATATACTGTTTAGTTATTCCATCTTCTATCTATAAAATATTATAATAATATAAATAATGTTGAATGCAAACTGAGTACTAACATTACTAAAACATTAACTTATGATAATGTAATCAAATCTAAATTTAAATTCGAATAGTTTAAAGTTATATGTCTTAGGCTTGTTTTATATCGAAACATAATAAAAGCGATAGAGCATTTTTTAATGATAATGCGTTTAAGAAAACTTGGTCAGTTTCGTAACTTTCATGATATTGTAAATCATTATATAATTACAGAATAATTAATTTAAGTTGCTCACTCATATTAGCTTCTGCTTTTGCTTTTTAATAACGAGAAATTAACAAAATTTTTTTAATTTTTCACTTTTACATCATAATTTCATACAATTTTAACGACGGATCAGCCCTAAAACGACTTGCATTTTAATCATTTCCTCAAAACAGCTCGTTTTATTCGCGAATTCAACATGCAACTCATTTTTTGTAGCTTTTTCAAACAATATCCAGAAAGTAAAAAAGAATTTAAGTCGTTTAAGGACGTCCCTCTCGATGAACTGCCAAAAAATAAGAGGTTTCAAGCGCATTGCATTAATATCGTAGCAACGCTTGGCAAAGTGATTGAACAAATGCACGATCCAGAATTGATGGAAGCAACCTTGATTAATTTTACCGAAAAACACAAAGCTCGTGGACAAACACCAGAGCAGTTTGAGGTAAGTAAATGTTTATCTTTTTATCTTTTACACACATTCTTTTCAATGACGTAACATTAATATAAATTATATCTAAAATTTTATTTAGAAACTTCGATCCATTCTTACTATTCTCTTTTCATGTAAATAAATTTACAGACATATGTACATCTTTTATTCTTAAATTCTTATTTTTTAAAATACACAAGTTTTTTTTATAGATGTAAAACGATCTTAAATCTTAATGAATTATCTTTGCTTTCTGTATAAAATTATTTCACGAAATTACTCTTCGGAATAAACTGATAATTTTCTATCTTGTGTACTGACACTTATCAGATCGATATTGGCTATTTTCGGCAGAGAAAACTAATCAGTGTGTGCTCATTGATCAGTTTTTTTCTCTATTAAACACAACCATTAACTCTATTTGACTCTATAATATATTATAGGATCGTATATGTGTGATAACACAATAAAAACTATAGCAATCAAAGCCTCGCATGGAATGCAAAAGATCCCGGCCGAATATAATATTTTTCGCAATAAGAATTAATTATTTACAGATTTTATAATATGTCACTCAGCATAATTAAAATCGTTTCGAAGATGCGAAAAAGCATCAAAAAATTGTTAAAATTGCTAGTCAATTTTAACTCGTGATGTTATTGCGGTAGTTTAGTAGAATTAGCGTTTCAAAACCGAAAAATCATTTCGACGCGCGTTTCAAAAAAGGACTACATAATAGTACAATATATAAATTCAGAATCATAGAAGCATTTAAGATCTAGTTAGACTTTGATTGCTATAGTTTCTATATTTGACTCTCTCTCTCTCTCTCTCTCTCTCTCTCTCTCTCTCTCTTAAAAATAAATGCAACCATTAACTCTGTCTTGTTTTTATCTTAAGATATAATTGTTATAAATAATTGTAATAAATATCTTTCAGAATTTGAAACAAGTGATACTGGAAGCGTTCCCCTCCTTATTCGGAAAGCACTATACGTCAGATGTTCAAGAGGCTTGGAAGAAAACCTTGGACTTAATCTTTTCGAGAATCTGTCAGGTGTACACAGATTGAGATGCTCCCACATAATCGCGAATTTTTAATTGTTTGTAAATGACGAATCTGTGGCACGTATTATATATCGCTTTTGGAAAATAACATCTATCAAAAAATTTAATTAATCATGACAACGATATGTTTTTCGCAAGATGATACTAATGAAACTTATATATAATTACTTATATATAATTTTTTGCACGACGGAGATTCAGCAGTTTTTTTTAAATTATATTGGCGTTTCAAAAAAAGCAAATTGTGATTAACAAAATTGTGTAGATCAATATGATGCGATATTGTGATGAAATTTGTACATATATATGTTCATGTGAGAATAAAATATATCTTATATGAAATTAGTGCGAAAAAGTGTTCTTTCATCAAGTTTTACATTACATAAAATTAGGAAATTAAAAGTTTTTAACTTTATTGTATAAATTTATTTCATTAATCTAACATGTTACCAACCTTTCTTTTTCTATAATCATTTTAAAAACTTTATTTTTCGATCGATCGGACCTCACATTGCGCAACAGCAACAAAACGTGATGTTAGCCAAATGTGCATTATTCGATTCGCCTAACCGTGAAATGTCAATTGCTTGCCCTTATTATTTTTTACTAACGTTTGCCGAAACGATAGGGCAGGATGATATGAAGAGCTCTTGAAAAAAACAAGGAATGAATCATACCAACGTTACTATTCACGATATTTTATCAGGTGAGTCGAACGAAGGATTTCCGGAACGATGACATTCGTGGTTGGCACGATGTATTTTAGGACGCCAGGCGATCTCCTTGTCCCTACACGTCATCGGTGGCATTATAATCGCGGTTATAATTTGCACTTGCTGCTGCACCCTGCTTGTGAGACACAAGTGTGCGAGGATTATTGATAAGCTGACAGGAAGACGGAAAAAGGAGTCAGTATATAAAAAAAATTATTATTTATATGATGCGATTCTCAGCACGATTCCAAGATTTAATGAAATATAAAAAGCGACTGATCAGGATGTAAAAATACATTTAGAAAGTATTTCCCTCCCGACATCGAGGAAGGACGAAAGAAGTTGCGGAAAAAGAAGAAAAGACCCGTGTCGCCGGACTTGATACCGACGACGGAAGTAACCGCGCCGATTATCCCAAAGGAACCGGTGAGGGCGGAGAGGTTGGAGACCCCGTCACCGACTCCTTGCTACAAATGTTACAGAAAAAAGAAAAAGGGACGAAGAACGAGGCAGACACGATGAGATCGCGGAGAAGATTAATCCATAAGTAAACGAGGCAACGAAAAATGAGACATCTTCCCGAATTGAAAAGAAATAAAAGCACATGCTATAAAAGAATGATCTTTTGTTTTTATCTGCGCGATTCTTTCTCTTTCTGTAACGTCTCGTTTCAAGAAAAATGCGGGCGATCGGTATTTATGTCGTAATTATCGCGATAATTTTTGTCTTAAGAATCCACGGTACGATAGACGTGAATCTGAGCGAATTGGAGTATCTCGCAGCTCGACTGAGCCCAGTCGAATGTAGGCGATTAATCGCCGCGCTTCATTACACGTCTTATGACTTGCCGAGCAGCTTGGCCGAGGCAGGTCAGCTCTCCTTTCCGTGGTTCTCACACGGAAAGAACGATTTTGGTGAAGTATCTAAAAATTTAGGTAGATACAAATCGGAAAATAATTTTGTCGGACCATCCAAATACTTAACGTATTCTCTAAAACTTTTACAGTGAAATCTCACTCGATTAAAGTTGAGATTAAAAGTTGAGTCACTCTTTTTCAAAACTGACTCAATTTTCACTCTTTACAGTAAAATTTTAAAGAATTCAGAGAGTAGGAAACTCAAGCGTGATAAGCAACGTTACCAAAATTTTGACATAATTCTAGCAATCTGCATCTCGAGTGGCCCACATAATTATTTTAATAGTGGCCAACATAATTATTTTTAGATCTGATAGATTATTTTTAGATAAATTTTAGATTTTCAGCAAAATCGTTCTTTCTACGTAGTCTTACATCGCAAGACTCTTTTATTAATAGCTTTATTTACCCTTCGAATGATTTAATTAACGTTCAATTCTCGCGAATAAAAGAGCGTAAGGTGGACGAGGAGATCCCGTGTCTGCGTTTACTTCTTCATTGGAATAATTCTCCCGACGAGGGCCGGGGAAAGACGCACGCGGCGATTGTACACCGACTTCGACAGCTAAATCGCAACGATCTCGCCGATTGGCTTGGCAAAACTACCTTCAAACAACTGGGAAAGGATCTGGACAATGCTATTACGCTGTCCTTCGACGAGCTCGCCGAGGAAGAAATGGAAACCAGCACGTCGGCATTCCACATTGCTAATTATACTCAGAGCTGTGCAAAACACTGATCAAAATATCCTTTATAAGATGCAAAATAGTCATAAAATATATCTTATCTGTAAAGTATAAAATGACGAAGAGAGAGTATATCTGAACATTGAAATTGAACAATGATAACAAATCGTTATAATAGTAAACGCTAAAATCTTATTTAAATCAAATACGATAGGAAAAGTTTTTATATTTACTATTTCTTCAAAATATTCATAAATTAATTAAAGATTCATGTATTTTAGATAAAATATATTGCACAGCTCTGATTATAATTCGACTGTTTTATTTGACTTCTGCATATTGTTTCTTTTAATATAAAATGTAATTTTGTTTAAATAATACATCAAGTATTCGTTTGCAGCTTAATTACAACAACGTCTGTTATGTGGATTCAAGAGGAAAATCCGTGGTTAACAATCGATACAATTCTTATGGCTGTACTGCTTGGGTTGCTAGGAACGCTATTTGTTTTAATTGTGGCTATTATCATACATACCGTTAAGAGCAATAAAAATTAAACATAATGTTCTTCCTTTCTATTTAAGTTTAACTGTGAAGTTTCTAAAATATAAATGTCCACATGTTAAAGAATAAATTAATAATAATAAAAACGGTTTTCTTTATTCTGATTTTGTTAAACTCATTTTTTGTTAATGTAAATAAAAGTGCATTACGAAATTAGAAAATCTCAATATTTTGTCATATTATTTAAAAAGAGGAAAGCAGTCTTGATATTTTCGAAAAAAAATGTGCCGTGAATATATAGAATTGCTTTTATTACAATATAAATCTCTTAAAACGAAACATTTTTCTTTTTAATAATTTAAGATATTTAGGAAAGAAGTTATAATATATGGGTGAGCAACTTAATTACCCTGTAAACTCTTGTGTAAAATTTTTTAAATACAACACGAATGTATACATGAAAAATGCATTATAATAAAACTATGTCATGTGAATCTTTCATGATAGGATCGTTTCCATAAATATTAAAGCCGCCTTAAGTTCAACTGTTCTTTTAGAAAGTGAGAAACACGTTTAAAATCTTAGTCATCTTTAGCTAGTTATGCATGGTTATGGAAATGATTCATACGCACAAATACAGAAAATCATGTGAATGCGATATTTAATCGTAATAATACGCTATTCAATAATAATATCAATAATAGTAAAATACAAACGCGTGGCATGTGAAACAATGAACATGGCAACTATCATCACAATGACAGTGACAACGATAATGATAACAACGATAATAACGCGTATGATGACAACTGTTACACATATATTAATAATTGCGATAATCGATTGTAAACTTTCTTACGACTTATGACTTCGAGACGTAAAATTGCGACTGAATAATTAATCTATCTAATAGTAACATGCATTTATATATGAACGTTATAATAGTTACGAAACTAATAAATCAGCTGCATTTGATTTGTCGCAAATGTACAGTTAACAAATTTTAACGTAATTGCTATCTGTTAGCTCGATTAGTCTGTTTAGGTTCTACCATACCACTATTATGCTTCGTCTTTATGCAAAATTACTTACGTAACAATTAATAATCTTTGAAACAGAAATGGATAGAATTGTAATGAATCTGTTGGTAATCATCAAATGTAATTTAATTAATTTTACATTTGTTAATTACGTTTGTAATTGGCCAACAAACTGTTATTACTTATGTGTATAGCTTGCAGCTAAAAATAAAACTGATGATCGGAAAAGATTATAAATGTAATTATTGCGATTGGTTAATACCAATTGGCGAATAAAGTGTTTGTCATTTAGATAATTCGCGGACGGAGAAATGCGAACGAAACGCATATCTTGCAACATACGATATCACTACAACGAGAAACATTAAATTAATGTGTTATTAATTTAATATAGTAACAATAATAGTAATAATGTAATAATAATATAACAGTAATAATAATAATCTTTCAAAAGGAGATTTTAAAAAATAATAGAATATTATTCGAAATAAAATATTAAAAGATAATAACTCTAACCATGTAACAATGGTATTCTATATAGGAATGATAGTTGTATAGTATAGTTATAGTAGGAATAATAGTAGGAGTGATGATTGCAGTAGTAATAGTGTAGCAATATAGTAACAGAATAGTATTAGTGATAGGAATAAAAGTAATAGTAATAATAGTAATAGTAGTTGTAACTAGCGTGATAATATTTTGCACTAAAAGTCGGCAATGTTGATAAAAGAATAAATTAATCGATATTTAATCGACAGAAAAACTCACGATGTGAATTGCACAACCGTTATTTTCGGTGTATTTGATGTGCCATACGATATAAATATTTTCTGAATATGTTTCTCTCTCTCTCTCTCTCTCTTTCTCTCTCTCACATTCTGTCTCTTTCTCTCTCGATATATATTCTATATGTACAGCGAGACACATGTTCTACCTGAACACGTCATTACTGAGATATTTGGAGAAGTACATTATCTTTTTCAGCCCTAGATAAGAAAATAGACTAATAAGAATTTTGTTACCTGCTTCATTTTGCACAACTCATTCTTGAGTTAAAAGGGAATGAGAATTAAGTTCTTTTTAAATAATGAGCTAAACTTTTTAGAGATTTAACTACGTAAGAAAAATATAATGTCTAAAATTATAATACGTTTGTTCCTCAAATCATTTTAGACAAATATAATTGTAATGGAATCTTAGGGGTTTGGCTGTTAAGATATTTCTCTAGCGTAGTAAATAGAAATTAAGTTATAAAAATAATGGCTTTCTATGAAACTTCTTCTAAGGACATCTCGACTCCACGAGAAATCTCTCTTTGAAAAGGATTATGCGCTAGATCGGAAACGTCCCGTGTAATACGTATCTAAAAACGCGTATTCTTTCTATTTTTTCTCTTTTTCTTGTCCTTTTTTCATTCATTCCGCTACATTTTGTTATATTTATCTTATTTTTCTCTTTCTATTTGTTTTCCCTTCTTCCTATTCTTGCGTTTCTTTTATTGCATCCCGGCGGACTCATCGTTTTGTTGCACGGATTTTTCAAAAACGTACGACGATCTACGAAGGTCCATGGCGAGTAATGAGCAAATCGTCGCGGATTGCTGTCTCTACGAAAGGCACTAATATATGATAGTTTATCACAGAGTCTGTGCGTGTATATGTGCGCGTGTATGTAGTTGTGTGCATGTACGTGTCCCGACACTTGTCGTTTAGATCGAATTTTCTTAGATCCTGCGTTCTAGATCTTCGTGAAGAAGACTGTTGTTGTTGGTCTCGTGAATCGACGCGGGGGATGATTCGTCCGGTTGTTCGCCCCCGCTTAATTCTAGTTGGCCGGTACTGTCACCGCTGCTGGAACCGCATTCGCCATCGACAAATCTGAAAAGAACATTTTTTTTTAATATACAGGCAGAATGTTCCATTTTGATTACACATTTCATATGTCTCTCAGTGATTTCGTCTATTTTAGAAAGATATTTTAAGTAAAAGTTTCAAGAAATCATAGTTTTTAAAGAAAAAAACGATGCATGCAGTAAATCTTTCATATCATGACACGCATTTTTTAAATAAAATACATCATTAATATTTTATCAAACCACAATATTTTTTTTTATACTTATATAACACTTTTATTCTACATATAAAAATATTAAGATTGTAAAAGATTAATAGATAATTTGGAGAATAATTTAGATTTTAGATTGACATTTCTGTGACACATTTAAAATATAAAATTTCATTAAAAATATTTATTTTTCGATCTTATTTTAATGCCTTTAATATACTATATAAAACATTGATCTACACTGTGAAA